TGCTCCTACATATAATCGACCCTACTACAAGACTGCTTCCGCAGGAAAAGTTGCAGCCTGCTGCCGGCGCCAGAGCCAGTGGGTTCCTATCTGATCTAGATCATGATGGATGCAATTGCCTTTGTGCTTTTCTATCCAAGGCTTAAGCTGGAGATGTCAGAGTCTCTCAAGGCCCTGAAATCCTTGTACAAGGACCTGCAGACCAAGCAGGCCGAAGCCATCAACAAGCATCCCGACAAGCCTGTATCTCAGTTTGCCTGTTGTAACCTCCCGAATATGTTGAGCCCGGAAATACTATTACTCTGAGCCCAGGCCCTTCAACGACGCCTTGCTGAAGCTCTATGCCAACATTACCAAGCAGGACCTGGTGATGAATAACCTGGTGGTGAGGGCCAGGAAACTCGGCTGCATTGCACCGATCGTACAATGCATTCAATATGCATGGGTTCGTGTTGCTTAATCCCAGGGGCATCAAGGGTACCAGATCAGTGGCTGGATCTACAACAGGGAAGGAGGCGAAGCCGAAGAAGGCTGCTAAGGGCAAGAGCCCAAAAAAGGGTTCGGGCAAGGTGGGCAAGCCCTGCAAAGGTGGCAAGAAAGGCCGCGCTTAAAGCGCTGCAGCTCTCACCCGTGTGTTTGCATCCTCCCTGTGCATAAAGCTGAGGCTGTCTTGCAACGATCAAAGGAAGATACTCCTATAGGATACCCCGATTTATAAGTAGCTAATCTAGATGAGCTGTCGTTGCTGTGCATTCTGCCTCGGTAGCAGCACCAATCGTGTGCAATTCGTTAGTTCTTTCGAGCACAGGGGATCGGCTCGAGTGTGCGAAAAACCCTATCCGAAACCCTGCTGATGGCGAGTCTACACGTGCATATCATGTAGATAGCTGCTGCTTGCCCCACGCAGGTCTGCTGAATCGTGGCACTCATCCAGCAGCAGAAGGACCCTTATATTTGGTAGCTGCAGCATAGCAACTCAAGAGCCCCTAAACCCCAAAACCCCAAAA